CTAACTGCGCAATGCTGTGACATATCAACAAAATGAAATCGTAACTTTGTAGAGAAAGGTCTTAGCTTCAAAATTACAGCTTATTTTTTGGTGTTACATTTCCATTTTTGGAGTTAGAGAAGAATCTACAAGGCCAATAAAAAGTTGTGGGACTAGGTGTCTTGCACTATATGACAGTTGGATCAGAAAGGCCAAATAATTCTTTTCCATTATATTTTTTCAAAATATCAAACTTATTCCAAACATCAGCTGGTGTCTTTCCAGTATGTGTGCAAACTATTTTCCCTCGAAAATATATATCAATTTGACATGCTGTATCAATTATTGATTGGCATATTAAAGATCGATTACCAGAATATTTAAAATGAAATGAAGATTGATATCCAGGACCTGCAAAATTCAACTCTTCCTGATCTGAACTACCTATAGATGATACAAAAACTGTAATATCATTAACAACAATTTTAAAAGGAAAAAAAGATACATCCACCTGCAATTGTTTTGCCATCACTTCATCATTAAAACCTAAAATATTTGGTCCAGAAAAACGTGTGTTTTCATTAAAATGTCTTTTCCAAGTTTCATTTACCACTTCACTTGTAGATGAGCAAATTTCTGAATCCAAGTCTGATTCGCATATATAGCCAGGCTTTAAATTATTTTCTTTTGTGTTGTGAACTACTCTAATGATAAATTCTTTTCCATTTAACACGATTTGAATTCTCATGTTGATGCGTATTGGAAAGCATATTTGTTTATTTTGACTATTTTTTACATTTAGAAAATACCACCAATTTTCAGCAAAATGACCATAATGAAGATTATTGTCAATCTCACCAGTTGCTAAAAGTTGTCTTTTAAAATTTTGTGTAGACATGTCATCATGATTACAACAACAAAAAAGAACTCATGAACATCACTGGAAATTTGGGTCAACTTTTCTTGTTATAAATAAATCAATTTCTTAAATTCTTAAGATTTTCCGCAGAGATCGTAAATCAATTTGAGATTTTAATTTGAAAACTCCCAATATTTAAAAAAATGTCATTATTAACACATGTAATTAAAGCTCTTGAAAAAATAGCACCATTATCATTAGCACATACAAAATGGGATAATGTAGGTCTACTAGTTGAACCACAATATCCACGTTCTTCAGCCACAAGTGTATTTCTCACCATAGATTTAACACCCATAGTTCTTGAGGAAGCCATTCCGACTCCTAGTGTTGGAATGATAGTGGCTTATCATCCACCGATATTTCATGCTTTTAAACAATTAAATTTGAATGATACAAAACAAAGCATTATTTTAAAATGTATTGCAGAAGGAATTAGTGTTTATAGTCCTCATACTGCTATTGATTGTAGTGTTGGTGGAGGTAATAAATTTAGGAAGTTTTATTAATTGATTTAATTAATTGATTGATTTTTTGTTGATTTTTATTTTTTTGTGCTTGGAAAAAGTAAATGATTGGTTAGCTAAAGGACTTTGATCAGGAACATCTATATCTTTAATGCCTAATGAAAATCCACCTGCAGGTATATATATCAATTTATTCATGTATACATGTATAATATATATGAATACTTATTATTAATAATGCCATTGTCATTGTTGTTGTTACAGGACATGAGGAAGCAGGGGCAGGTAGACTTTTCACATTAGAAGAACCAGTGTCATTATCAACTGTGGTTAAACGAATTAAAAATCATCTGAAGTTAAAGCATGGTAAATATAAATCAATAATTGATAAATATGACGATAAAGATAACAACAATGATTTAGGGAGTTGATATTAAAAAAGAATAATTATGCTGAAAAAATCTATTCAACTATTCATAATATTTATATAATTATTATTAGTAAGAGTTGCTACAGCTGAAAAGCATAGACATAATGATGGATTAATTTCAACAATTGGAATTTGCGCAGGATCTGGTAATTATAAATAAATAAATAATATATATACACATTATAAAATTTTATGAATAAAATTTTTATTCTCTCAAACTAAAGGTGTTTCAGTGCTATCACCAGCAAAAGCAGATTTATATTTTACAGGAGAAATGTCACACCATGAAGTATTAGCAGCTTTGGCAAAAGATACCAGTGTGATTTTATGTAAATATTAATTAATTAATTATTTTTTATTTATTTATTTCTAAAATTTAAATGATCTTTTCCCCTAAAAAAAATAAAGGTGAGCATACAAATACTGAGAGAGGATATCTTTCCAAAGTATTAAAACCCAAACTAGAAAAGTTGTTAAAAGAAGATGGTGATAATCAAAAAGTGGACATATTGGTAAGTCAATCAGACAAAGATCCTTTGGAAATCATTTAACTTAAAAAGTTTTGCAATGTAAATTAAATTCATTCATGTCAAGAAAGGTCATAATATTTGTTTATTAACCAAAATCATTATTGCAAAAATTAATTATAAATTCAAATTTGATTTATTAAAAAATTTAATATTTCCTTTTTTTTATTGTTGTTATTAATAATGATTTCTTATGCTTTTATGGCATATTTATGTTGTGGAAAATGAATTGCTTTGATATGGGCACTGGTTTTAAAAAAGTGTTTTTTGTAAATAAAAAATATTAATTTTTAAAATTTTCTTAAATCAAAAGTGTAATAATGATTACCGTCTAGTTTTCTTTGAAGCTTCATTCTAATCGATGTAAAAAAAAGTATTAATGTTTTTAATGATACTTTTTTAGCTCCCCACAATAAAATAATATAACAACTTACTTTAGTCAACTTTCTACGAATTGCACAGGTTTTCTTTGGTCTAAGATCAAGGGGTTTATATTTTTTACCCTTATAAAAAAGTCAAATTTGTGCACGTTGTGTTTGTGAAATAACTGTATTTACTCTTGCAATGGATTTGTGAACTTCTCAACTATAAATGAACAAGTAAGTGGGCAAGTGGAAATGATTAATAATAATTGATTTGATTGATATACAAAATTTTTTTACAAACATCTTTGTTAATTTTGATGCAGCACCTCCAGCTATCTTTTGTACTTTAAGACTAACAAGTTCTTGTTTAAGATCATTGAGTTGTTTTGTTAATACAGTCTTGTGACTATTACGAATTTTTATAAGCTTTTACTGATGCCTTTTGTTTTTTTTAGAAAACATTTATACTTGCATTTATCAACATAATAAATTATTTGTGCAAAAGCATACATGCACATATATATAATATAGGTATTTACCATGATTTAATTGATTTAATTGATTGATTAATTGGTAAATGATATAAATAAATGTGAATGTAGATCAACATCGAACTAATTGACCAATCATAATTCAGCATATATACAAAAATACCAGTATTTGATTTGACTGCGCTTCAGATACAAATACATGACACTATATTAAAGTGCCAGTATAATTTATATAAATAATAAATTAGTAAATTATAAAAAACAATTGATAAATTTTGTTTATATTTTTGTTTGCTTTTCAATGCCCATCCCTTTTCTAGTTCAAATTTGGCATCTATATTAAATACCCATGTAACAATCATTAATCAAAATTATCAACAATATAATAAACAAGAAGTAATAGATTATACCTAATGTCCTGGTGTTATTTTTTGTTCCAATATCCCTGGTTTGTATACTTGTATCTATAAAAATTAAAAAAAGATCATATGAATATGAATATAAAAATATAATAAAATGCATCTCATATTTTTTACCTTGAGTATTAGACAATGAAATATTCCATTTTTCTTCAGGTATTGAATGAGAAGAAACTAGGGGTGTTGGCTTGTTTATCTTTGATGGTGAAAATCGTAAGGTTTCTCCAATATGTGGTAGACATTGAGCTTGTATAAACCCAGCATAATCACCTTTGATTGGCCATTCAAAGTAAAACAATTTTGTGATGCCTTCAATGGTTTTAATCTTATGATTTTGGCATGTTGGCTCTAGATGTGCAACAGAAGTTCCCTTTAAGCCAACTATTGCTTTTTCTATTTTATTTCCCTCATCCAAATTGTGCCCAATACATATGTATCTCTTGATGGCATGTGAAATCTAATAAAACAATTTTTCTAATTAATAAAGATGTAAGAATTTAATATAATAGCATTATAACAAAGCTTGCCTGTGCATGATGAGAATCAACAGTTGATTTTGCCTCCCCAGGTTCAAAAAAATACCAACCACGAACTTCAATATTATACCACAAGTACCAATTGGCAACAATAGTCATTAATTCTGAGTTGTGATAATGGGCACCATTGTCTGAAAATACCTCAATCCATTGTGGTCGTGGGTCTAAAGTTTCAAAAACAGAATCAAAAGAAGAAACTGTAAACCAAGCATCTTGCTTGGTGTCAGTACTCCAATGGTCAAATGCTTGAACATTGAACTGGTTAGTATCAGATTTGGTGAAAACCAAGATTGTATGCAATGTCCATCCTCTTTTACCAAAAAATTGCACTTTCATTTCCCTTGCACTTTTGGGTAAAATACGCATCTTATAGTCACAAATTAAAATAGCCCCATTATTATCTAAATTTGCCAACCTAGCTTTAAATTGACTATTTAAATAAACTTTCCTTGCTTGATGAGCCAAAAAATAATATAATTTGTCTCGACATTCCTCAATTGTTGATTTTTGTTCTTCAAATTTGTTGATAAGATTTTGTATTACAACAAATAACTGATCACATGCAATGCAATGCTCATTGTGTTGCTCATTGCACTCACCAAATGCATAAAGCAAACAATGATTAATTGTGTCTACATGCATTGTTGTGCCATCATTATTCATGTTAAGTTCCTCTTCAAATCTTCTTCTCAAATGAATTTGCAATTTTTCTAAATCAGTAATTAATCTATTCTATAAATATAATGTATATAATTATTATTTGTAGACCTATTAAATGAAGTATACATATTTATTTTATATTAAGTTACCCTTTCTTCTTTATCAACAATGTTTAATTGAATTAAGCTATTCAACACATTAAAAACTTCATAAAAATATTCATTGCAAATGTCACAAAGTCCACCCAAATCCTTTCGATACACATATGGGCCACTTGCCAAATGTGCCATAAATGATGTCCGTTTAACTCCATCAGAATAGATAGCCTCAAATTTTTTCCAGAGTTGTTCTTTATTATCCTTCAAATAAAGAATTGGAAGGTTTGTCTTTGAATCAACTTTGTAAGAACTCATTGTTACATTGTCTTTATCCATAAAAAAAGCCTCAAGTTCTTGACTTTTGATTTCTGATATCCTACTTTGAGAAACTATGGGTCTTTCATTTGCAACACAACCAGGGCCATTAACTCGTGAATATATTCTTGCAGCATTTATTAGATCGTTTGAAATCTAAAAAAATTTTTGCAGCATAAGGTTAATAATTCTGTGCAAACATGAATTATATATAGTCATAAATACTACCTTCAAGTTATCTTGCAATTCACGATACAAAAAATTATCAGCAATCACTGATAAAATTTTTTGTTTCCCATCCAACCCACGATTATTCATTTTAATTGAAACATTGAAACTATCCCAAAATTTATCAATTTTTTTTTGAAGCTTATCATTTTTTGCTGATAGTTCTTTCACTACTTTATTGTATGGAATACCATTTATAAAATTATTTTCATATAAATAAAGCATTAAAGCACAATCACTTGATATCCCTTCTACATTTTCTGAACATGTCCAAAATTCAAGCTATTTTATGTGATAATTGAACAAAAAATTGATATTTATCAGTTATAATAATAAAATATTATTTGTTATATAATTAAATTCTTATTCTTGATTCCAACAATCTTTTGCAAAAAAAATTTTTTTTTTCTTACTCTTGATATATTTTTTTTATATGGTGTTATATTAGTGCATCCAACACCTTGCAACATTCTCCTCCATGCTCCCAATATGGTATCAGTAATTTCAAAACCTGGAGGATATATGGTGGTGAGGTGTGAAGTAAATTCTATAACATTCATTAATTGTTGTCTCCATTTAATAAAAATTGATGCCAATTTAAATTGGAAACTGCTATCCTCCTTTTTAGGCACTTCTCAAATACAAATGTCATTTTATCAATATTATTCCAATTGAATGATGTGCAGTAAGGTGTATTTATATAATTTTGAATTTCTTGTATGACAGTTGGATCAGAAAGACCAAATAATTCTTTTCCATTATATTTTTTTCAAAATATCCAACTTATTCCAAACATCAGCTGGTGTCTTTCCAATATATGTGCAAACTATTTTCCCTTGAAAATAGATATCAATTTGATATGCTGTATCAATTATTGATTGGCATATTAAAGATCGATTACCAGAATATTTAAAATGAAATGAAGATTGATATCCAGGACCTGCAAAATTCAACTCTTCCTGATCTGAACTACCTATAGATGATACAAAAACTGTAATATCATTAACAACAATTTTAAAAGGAAAAAAAGATACATCCACCTGCAATTGTTTTGCCATCACTTTGTCATTAAAACCTAAAACATTTGATCCAGAAAAATGTGTGTTTTCATTAAAATGTCTTTTCCAAGCTTCATTTACCACTTTGCTTGTAGATGAGCAAATTTCTGAATCCAAGTCTGATTCGCATATATAACCAGGCTTTAAATTATTTTCTTTTGTGTTGTGAACTACTCTAATGATAAATTCTTTTCCATTTAACATGACTTGAATTCTCATGTTGATGTGTATTGGAAAGCATATTTGTTTATTTTGACTATTTTTTATATTTAGAAAATACCACCAATTTTCAGCAAAATGACCATAATGAAGATTATTGTCAATCTCACCAGTTGCTAAAAGTTGTCTTTTAAAATTTTGTGTAGACATGAGGATTTGTAAGTGTGGACACTGAGATTTGAAAATTTTTTAATTTTATTAATATTAATTAGCACCAAAAATTTATATTAAAATGATCGACATTTCTCTGATTTATTCACGAATCACCAATATAGAATTTCACTGTTCAAGCAAAATAATTGCAAAAATAATTTTATTCAAGGACTTTGCAGTCAAATTGAAGTCACAAATTTGACTTGCTGTTGAGTCAGGAACAATTAAATAGCAGTTATCATAGTCTGACATTGGAATAAAAGAACAAACAGCATTCTATCCACTGATTAAAATTACTGGATTTGGAAATTAACAAATTTTAAAGAATTTAAATGGCGAATGGTGGTCATAGAGAAGCAAAAAGTTTGATCATAAGAAATTAGAGGGTGATGGTGATACAATCAATATATTATTATCTTATGGCTAGTTTTCATATTCTTTAAAAAAACTATATAATTCATTTTTATGTAAAGAATTTAAAAAATTAATAATGTATAGTAAATTTACACAAAATATAAAAACAGATATCATTTGGCATTAATTATTTTTAAAAAAATTTATTGTAATTATTATTAATATTAATATTATATTATTAATTGAACGTATAATAAAATATATATAATGTATTTAAAAATAAAATAGAAAATTTGTTAATGTATTTTTTTTAAATTAATTAAGTAATTAATTGTATTGTTATTATTATTATAATAATAATAACATAAAATTATTATTGTTTATTACCCATTAGTAAATCTAATTACCATCACACTCAAATTATCCGTACTAAAGTTTTGAAGAGCATGTTCAATTAATTTAGCGCTGGCAACTTGTGGATCCAGGATATCTTTGACTAAATTAACAGCATCTTGATCGTTACATACATCCCATAACTTTTTTTATTAAACAAGGATGAAATAAATATTTACATACATAAAAAACCATTTTTCAAAAATACATCAATAAATTATTTTTTAATTTAAAAACTTACCCCGTCACAAGCTAATATCAAAAATGAATCTGATTCTGTAATATTGGTTTCTGTTGTGTATGGGCTGCCTATTACATATTCTTTCATCGAACTATCGCCCAGCGAACGCGTTACAGCCAATACACCTAAAATTTATATTTATATTTAAATAATCAAATAAATAAATAAAAAAGATTTGTTATTGTGCAATTCGTACAAACCGTTTACACGATTATTCATAACAAATCCACCGGCGTCTACGATTCTTTTTGCTTCTTGAGCATCGCTACCCTTGTGATCGTATGATAATCTAATTGCAGTGTTGTTACGACTAATTCACACAAACATTATCGATATCAATGTCAATTGATTGATTGATGTGGTTAGCTGCTTGGTATTATATTATTACTTTTTTTATTTACCTTAAAACAGCTCGTGCATCACCTACATTCGCGGTATACAATACTCGCTATTTATTTAATTATTCCAAAAATTCAAAATTAATCATCGTTACACAATGTTTATATATAAATTGTCATCTAATCCACATAATGAATAATAATACCTTTTGCTTCTTTTTTTTCCCGACATCGCCATTAGCTATTTCATTACCATTAACGACACTACTTTTATTTTTACTATCATTTATCATTTTCCCTTCATTTATTTCTTTTTCTCCTTTATTTTCTTCCTCCTCTTCTTCTATTCTCAAAAAAGCGGTTACTGCTGTACATCCTGAATGCTTTCCAGCTGTGTTTTGATTTAATTGCTTATCTACCTGCAGAAAAGCTTTATGAAAAACTTCTGGAATAGGAATGTTTGAATTTTTATCTAGGACTTCTTCAAACGTCTAATAAATATAATAATTGTTACATTGTTTAAATAAAATTAATTAATTGATAATTAATTAAACAATTCAATATAAATATAAAACTATTCAAAATAGATTATTATAGAAAAAATTCTAAACTTCTAATTCCTAAAGTAATGCTAATAATATTTATGTTCAGTAATAATAATAACTACACAATAACAATAAATACATTTATCATTTAATCATTTTTCCAGCCTTACATTAATTCTACAACATGGGCCTTAACAAAAAACCAACAATAAAATATAAAATGAAAGAAAACCGTGCAAAGAGAAGCTTGAAATGTTTGTATACAGATATTTGATCCATTGACACTCTCTCTTTATTATTATTATAATTATATAATGATAATGATGACGAATTGCAATTTGATTTACCTCGTGAAAATGATTTCCACACCATTCAGCTGCAGATTTTCCAGCGTGTCCGTCAAATATGGCATAGAATCCTTGACCCTCAACTCCCGCAAAATCATAAAAAAATGAATGAGAATCCTATAAGAAAGAATTAGCGAGGGAATAGCATATGATCATATTTAATTGAAATAATAATATGGATCCCTGCTTTATATATTTGTTTTTAATTATTCATAAACATTATTTGTTTTTTTTTGAAATAAAGGATGATACAATGATAATGATGTGATATAATTATAAATAATAGATACGATATAATAATATGTTACATATACATCATATTAATATTTTTCCATCACACCTTTTAACCCACATATTTACACTATTATTAATTTTTTTTTTTGATTTAGATTAAAAATTTATCATTAAAAAAAATAGTAATCAAAGTGAAAGAAAAGGCTGGCGGTGATGATGATGATGCGGCATTTTTTCCATTATTTAAAGAGAGGAAAATTAATAATAATTAATTAAAATACCTCCATTGTTCTTCTACATCTTCTATTTCTATCTTCACTAACACCGATTTGAAAATGTGGGTATCCTGTTCTTTTATTTGACAGTGTTTCAGAAGAAGAAGACGAAGATCCGTTTAATATATCGCCTATATTAGAACTCTCGCTATCACTATGAAAAGAACTAAATGGTTGTTTTGTTCCTTTATCTTTGGGACTCAAGGGAGTCGGTGAAAGTGTAAATACTAGTTTATTATCAGTTGGAGAACTTTCAGTTGGGCTTTTTATATTCGGACTTGAACAATCACTGGAATCGTCTCGAGCCTCTACATTATTTTTGTTTTCTTTATTTTTGTTGCAATTATTGTTTTCTTTATTGTTGTTAGTGTTGTTATTATTATTAGCAGCATTAGCATTAGTGTGAGTATTATTATCGTTTGCTAGATCTTTATCAGAGCTATCCTTTTGATTTGCCAAAAGCTGCTCAGAATCGCCATTAGATGTTAAAGCAGCAGACATTATTTATTTAAAATTAAATTTTTTCCTTTATAGAGAATTTTTTTTAAAAAAATTAAAATTTATTATTAAATAAATTAATAAATTAAGTATGAATTTTGTAAAAATATTATTATAATAATAATGTGATTTTTTAATAATGGAAAAAAAAAGGAAAAATTTTTATTACTATCTGTTATTATTATAGAAAAAGAGAAGATAAATCTTAAAAATGTTTACGTAAAATCCTCCTCTCATGCACAAACAATATGGTATTAAAATGCAACAGGAAAAATTCGTGTCACGGTTCGTCAAATATTTTATGTAGGATAACGTTTGACGAATTAATGCTTTTATATAAATTAGGACCCCTGAATACGCCACACTTCTATAAAAAATGTATTTGAAATCTAATGACGACACGTTTTGATATGCGTACTATTGTTACTGTGCACATGTAGAGTTTTATATTAAATATACGGGCAGCACCAAAATGCCTTAAATTATGTAAATCTTATTGATATTTAATCCGTTTACATATTGAGCTGATGCAGGGACACGGATTTGTAGTGTATCATAATAATAATAAAATTAAATCGGTGCGCAGTATGTTACATAATATTTTGGTATGCTGCGCGTCGATTGAATTTTATATCCTTCTATATTTGTAACAAATGTCGCAATTCTCATGAAGCTTTCGAATTACTCGATGCGCACATTCCTTCATATCTCCACACTCACTTGTTCATGCTGCACAAATGTTTGATCCAAATTATTTTGCTTGGCATTTTGAAAAGAAAAAATTTGCGTCAATATAGTTGTATTAAAGAGTCCGAGAATCCTTCCGATGAATTAATTGGTGAGATTGATATCGGATAAATATTCAAGATCCATTTCAAAAAACTTGCTCTAGAAATAACAATATTTAAATGGACCTTTCGATACGTATTATTATTATTATATTTTTAAAATTTTCATTTTTTTTGTAATGTTTTAAATTTAGCAAAAGTATTATATACTTCTCTTTATATAGCAATAGTACTAAAATTAGAAAATAGACAAGTCTTTTAGTATTACTAACCTTTTGTACAAAAACTTCGGAAAAATTCGGGATAACAAAAGATCGTCGGTATTATTATTATTTTGATTTGTGGCGTTCGTCATATTCACTTTGCTACAAATTGATTTCTTTCAAATTTTTAATTATGGAAGAAAAAATTAAAAGTGATATACCAACATTTAGTCAATCGTGGGTTAGTAGGTGGAATTATCATTTTATTTTTAAATTTCTCGAGTAAAATTTTATAACAATATATGTGTGCGTATTTTTTTGAATTTTTAAATTTAGACCCCAACGCAACGTTTTAATGTTGCTGCATTCAGTGTTCAACTTGTACATGATTACGTTTGGTCAACTAAGGATGAAAAAGAATGGAAACAGAGATTTTTAATTAGTGTTTTTCAACATTTAGGAATTGAGGATAAAAAAGGTGGGAAATTTATACAACATATGCATTTGTAATGTAATAAATGAAGTAAATTATGTAAACACAAACATCCCATTTATCTACTCTTTAACAAATCAAAATAGAACAAAAAGTGCTTTTAAGGATGCCAATCGACAACAAAGATGACTCTGAAGTTGTTAACATACTTTTTAAAGTTTTTAAAGAATCATTAGTAAGCGATAAAGATATACGAGAGGAGATTATTTCTGATTTTTTATTTATAAGTTTGGGTTTAACTCGAAATATTTGTGGTGGTGACGATGAATCTGAAAAACCACCACCACCTAACAATCATATACATAATCATTTTAATAGTCTTAAAGAAAACATTAATTTAAAACTAGGCACCATAATTTCAAATATAAAGCAAGATGACGATAACATTTCAACCACATCAACCGACTCGTCGGACTCTTTATCTTTATCATCTTTACAACCTATGGACAAACCAGCAGAGTATGACGCTCGTGCCAGAGCTATTGTTTTCAAACTTGGACATTATTTAGACATTCCAATGTCAAAACTTTGGGCATTAGAAAAAATCATGGCTCAAGATTTATATTTTCTTCACGAGCAAATTAACAAAATAAAAGAAGAAGAAGAAGATGATGATCAAAATATTCAAGAATTACACAACAGTGCAAATTCAAGTCTTAATAAACATGCTAAACGTAAAAATAAATTGCGTTGGTTTGCTACTGGAGTTGGTGTAGTTGTTGGTGCAACTGCTATAGGTTTAACAGGTGGTTTAGGTATGCACAATACAACATATTATAATATAATATAGGTTTTGATTATTTTACTTGAGGGGGGAAAACTAATTTAACAATGATTATTATATGTTGTCAAGTGAAGCTACACCTTTTGTGGCTGCTGGAATAAGCGCAATCACTGGTGCCGGAATTATAGCAGCCGTTGCATCCAATGTCGCTATAATGGCTTCATTGTTTGGTATCGCAGGCGGTGGTCTTGGAGGTTATAAAATGCATAAAAGAATGCAAGGCCTTAAGGCGTTATCTTTTATTAGAATAATTAAAGATGACACAATTCCTATAATACCATCTCTTCATGTTGGTATAAAATTTATTTTTGATGAGCGTACATACACGGACGGTCTTTTTAATTAATTTATTTTAAACTTTTCTGTCATTATATAGGTTAATATTGTAATATCTGGATATTTATTGGAAGATGTCGAAGAAACAACATCACCATGGATTCCTACTTTTCAAAATACATCAGAATATCGAGACACATTTGCATTAAGTTTTGATCCTGAGATCCTTTTGGGACTAGGGAAAGCATTCAGGCAGTTTTTGGCAGAATCAGCTGTCAGGGTTGCAGCAAATTCTGCAATACAACACACAGTTTTGGCAACACTTGCTACCGCATTATTCATACCAGCTGGTTTGATGAAAGCGTGTGATCTGATAGACAATCCGTGGGCGCTAGGTGTAGATCGTGCTCGTAAAGCTGGTTTGGTTTTAGCTGATATATTGATTGAGAGAGTTCAAGGAAAACGACCTACTGTATTGGTATATATATATATATATATATATTTGATTTATATATTCTTATTCTTATAATTTATTTTAAAGAAAAAGAATAATACTAATATTGATAATATTTTTTTTGTGTACTAACTACTAGGTTGGATATTCACTTGGTGCATTAGTAATATGGCATTGTTTACAACAATTGGTAAAACTTGAACAATATGGATTGGTTGACACTGTTGTTCTAATCGGTGCACCAATTGCATCAAAACCAATTCAAAAATGGAAAGATGCAACAACTGTTGTTGCTCGTAGATTTGTAAATGCATATGCAACAAATGATATAGTTCTTGGATTAATTTATAGAATGCATTCGTTAGATTTAGATGTTGCCGGGCTTGGACCAATAAATAATTGTCTTAGAATAGAAAATTATAATATTACCGAATTTACAAGTGGACACTTGGGTTATAAGGACCCAGTAACGTTAACAGGGATTTTAAAAAAAATTGATTTAGAAAATTGATATAGAATAATAACTTATTTTTGATAAATATAGACTTAAAAATAATTCATTTAAAAACAATCAATTATAATTATAAAATTACAAAATAACAATTAACAAAAATTCATATTTCTTTTCTAATATGTGATAATATACACATATATATAAAGTCTCAAGTTATTACAGTAGGTTTATCACGTCCAGTAAAGTCATGTAATTTTGAAATTTCCAAAGCAACATCAATCAAAGGTTTTAATGCAATTTGTGTATCATTTCCATATTCTAATTCATTTTGTGAATATTTTTCAACATATAATCTAATTGTAGCTCCATGACTTCCTGTTCCACTTAATCGAAAAATTATTCTTGAACCATCAGTAAAAACTATTCGAATTCCCTTTATTTTTGTAAAAATTACAAAATTAAAAAAAATTGCCAAATTATAATCATCATATCATTATTTATGATAAAAATATATATTACTTGATGTTTAGATACACTTCCGTCAATTGGATCACGATATTCAAAATCGTCTGCTACTTTAACTGTGAATTGACCAAAAGTTTTTCCAATAAATTTATCACCACTAGCAATCAATTGTTGAAGATGATCAATCATTTTATTGGCACCATCACTATCAACCTCTTCATAATCATACCTAACCAAATCAATAATAAATTTGATAATCAATAATAATTTAAAAACAGAATTTGTAATTTATTATAGCATATTATTATCATTACCTAGAAAAAAAGTTTCGACCATAAGTTTGATAATGATCAAGAAGGATTTCTTTAATGCCTGCACCTTTATTCTTTTTATTAAATGCAGCAATTATGTTAAGCCATGCTAATAATATCAAATCATATGGCATTAATCAATCAATCAATAACCAAATAAATCATGAATCAAATAAATCATGAATCATAACATACCAATAACTGCCCATATACCATCTTTTTCTCGAATATGATCTGAACCTGTACCAAAACTTTCTTCACCGCAAATAGATAAACGACCAGCATCCATCAAATTACCAAAAAACTTCCAACCTACAATAATCAATCAATCCATCAACCATATTAGCAATAATACTAAAGCCTAAAAAATGTAAATCAACACCAAGGTTCAAATTCCAAATATTTCAATAAATAATAATTTTTACCAGTGGGAACTTCAAAAATTTCAAGACCCTTTTTTTTAGCAACCAAATCCAAAGCAGCGCTTGTAGGCATGCTACGTGCTAAACCTTTAATGCCAGTTTTTTGAAAATATGGAATAGAATCTGCATGAGCGGCAATGACAGCCACTGAGTCTGAGGGTGTGACGAAAGCATTCTTCCCATAAATCATGTTGCGATCACCGTCACCATCGGATGCTGCACCAAAATTAATGTTTTCTTTTTCCACACGTTCGACCAAACTATGTGCGTAGGTAAGATTTGGATCTGGATGACCACCACCAAAATCTGGTAATGGAGTATCGTTTTGAGTTGATGAACTTGGTAGCCCAAGTTCTTCCAAAAATATCTTTTTGCCATAAGGTCCGGTAACTAATTAAATTCAAAAATAAGATAGATAATTTAATAAATCAACCAATCGATCAAAGATTAAATTTTAATAATATAACCTCCATGTAATCCATCAAAAAGTACTTTGAAATTAGGATTTTCAGCAAAAAACTGTTTAATCAAATCAAAATCAAAAATCTCTTTTAAAAGTTGTACATAAGATTCCACCGGGTCTATAATTTCAATTGAAAAATCATCAAAAGTTTTTTCTCCGATAGTTGAAATATCAACCTATATATATAAATAACCATCATCACCAATTTATTATTGATATTCATGTTCATTTTATTGAAATAAATGAAGTTTCCTTTACACACATACTTTTGGAATATCAGATTCCAAAATTTGACTAATGGATTTAGTTCGCTCATAAATTAAATTTGTTATATTTTCTGGTGCAGGTCCTCCATTGCTAACATTAAATTTTATACCAAAATCATTATCTGGACCTTTTTGTATTTTTTTTTTTTGTTTTTTTTTGTTTTTTTGAATTAAACAATCATTATGATTAAGATAAAAATTAAAAGTAACAAGTTTTTCAAAAAAAGAATTATTACCTCCAGGGTTATGTGAAGCAGTCAAAAGGATGCCACCATCAGCTTTTCGTTTACGAATAATATTTGAACATGCAGGAGTGGATAAAATACCATTTTGTCCAATTATCAATTTCCCAACCTTTGTTCATTATTATTTTATTTTATTATTTACAGTTTGAAATTAGCAAAAATAAAACATAATGGAATCATCAAAAATAAAAATTTATCAATGTATCATCACCTCATTACCAGCTGCTATTTTGATAATGATTTGAATTGCTTCTTCAGAATAGTATCTACCATCACCACCAACAACTAAGGTGGAGCCTTTAGCTCCTGGTGAGGGCATTGCATCTAAAATTGCTTGAATAAAATTATGTGTATATTTTCCTTGTTGAAAAACTTTTGTACGTTTTCTTAAACCACTAGTTCCTGGTTTTTGAAGTTCATATACTGTTGTATCAATAGTTTTAATCTTACGAGTTGACGACATTTTCTAAAAAATAATTTTTTTAACTATTACTACTATATTTTCTATCCTATATTATATAAAAAAATTTCACGGGATTTTTTTTTGTTTGATCTAACTATTGAATGATTTTATCAACAATCAATCGGCACCACTTTTTTCAGCATGGTGGAATTTTGTTTTTGATCGACATTCGAAATTATCACGTTACACGATTTACAAAAATACAAAATAATAAACTAAACAATTTATTTTTTTAAAGATGCCTTGCAATCCTAATCAAGGTCCTTGCTCAGTTACTGGTCGTGAAAATTCAGGCCCTTACAGAAACTTAATAAAACTGTTTATACAAAATCAATTAATTCTGGAACTTTTTCTAATTTTGATTATTTGATAGTTAATGAATCACAGTTATGTCTTCCTCATTATTTGCAAGTATGTGAGCCTGCTAAGGGAAAAAAATGCATTGCTTTTGTAAATAAAAATATCAATGAACAAAATAATATTTTTACCATTAGACAATTTAAACAATCAAAATACTATGTTGATTGATGTTTCATTGAATGATATTTATGTTAATATTACTGATGACTCTATAACTATGTCTAATGATGATTTTAATTCATTGATAAACAAAATTTATCAAATGCAAAAACAAATTGAACAACAGAATGAAATAACATTAATTGAAGATGAGAAAGTGGAGCCTGAAATTGAAGAAGGTAATTGTATCCAAAATATAAAATTTATCACTCTAAGAAAACTCATTACTAATTACTATTTATCAAATAAAGTTGACAGATCATTCCCTATGCAAATTCAACAATTAACCAAAGTTATATATAAACAAAAACAAGAAAATGAAACAATGGAATTAAATCCAGAAAATTTTCAAAAATTGTTAACAGAACAAGATCCATTACTTGAAGGCTTTTTTGAAGAATTAACAAATGCATTGGTCCCTGAAAGACGTTCTACAACCAACCAAGAAGAAGCAAAAAAATCAATTGTTGGATTTTGTTATTTATTAGCTAGCCTTAGAAATAAATTTGCTAATTCTATTAAACTTGAGATTGGTTTATATCTTGTATCATCTGGTACTAGTTCTATTGCAATAAATACTTTACCAAATGCTGGAATATGTGCAAACTATAAAACAATTGCCAATCATAAAAAAAAATTAGCAAACATTCACTCTGGATCTATAAATAATTATTTTAAATTAAATGTATGTATTATATATAAAGTTGTTAATTATTCATATATACTTTTGTTAAATATTTAATTTATTTATAATTTTAGATACATCATTTGTTTATATTTAATATTGATGATTTTCATGATATTCATGAAAAAAGAAGGCCAGATGCTACATTTTTATCAACAGTAAAACATTTTGCAAGTTGTATAGCTAAAAAAGTTGAATGCCATCCAGTATCAGCAATGAATGAACAAGTTTCAATACATAATCCTAATAATATAGAAGCCCATAAAATCCAACATTATCTTATTAATAAATATCAAGGTACCTTTGATATTAGTTACCAATCCAGAAAAAATGAATGGATCGCCAAAGATTTACATATATTTAATTCTTTTGACAATGATGATCTTCTTAGTATACATGTATATAATGATGCTATTAAAGGAAAACATGAAGAAAGATCAATGAAGGATGTTAGAATTATAGGCTTGCAAGAAAGAAGTTTACATTCTTTAGAAGATTATATTGAAGCCGCTTCAATGATTACAGATATTTCTGAGTTATCAGAATATCTCCTTCAGAATGTCATACCTGTTGTGGCAGATTTTCCTGGTCAATTGTTCATTCGAAAAGCCATTACTCTGTTGAATAATCAAGGTGAAACAAATATTCCAAAAATTATGCAAAATTTTGTACCTCTTTTAGGACCTCTTCATGTCTCTTTAAATTCACATGAGCAAACATTGCTTGTCCATTATAATTTTTTTGAAAAAATGTTCCATTATGTTTTTGGTAATTCCAAAGTATTAGCAAAAAAACCTAAGCCATGGAGAATCAATTTGTTATTGGAATTAGTTACTAAGGGCTGGAAAAAAATCTCCAAAATTATTATGCATAAATTTGGAAATAGCAAAGATGTGGAATATAGAATGGCACTTGACCTTTTAGATAATATAATCCCTGCAACTCTAGATATTTATGCGATTCTTTTTCGTTCTGGTAAATTTGAAGAATATTTAGAAACATTATTTAGAATCTGGACTTTTGCTCTTAGGTGGAAAAGAAAAAATTATAATAAGATTATACTGGCATTTATTTCAGATTATATATACTGGAAAGAAAATCAACATCCTTTTGCAAATGTGTTGGAGAATCATCTTGTTAATTTCAATGAATATTATGTTGAAAATTTTCACAGCAGGTTACGTGCTAATATTAATGTAAATCAAAATGCAGAATCAATTATTAATCAGGCATTAGTAATTGGTAAGTTCAAATATATATATATATATATATATATATAATATACAAACATTAAGAAAATGAACATACTAATTTTTTAATGAACTTCTTTAGATTCCCATAAATCAGTTTTTGTTGATACCTTTAAAAAACCATATATTTACCCATATAAGCCTAATCAGCTGGAATTTCTTGTTAAAAAAACCAGTATATTTTTATTATCTTATTTCCAAGAAATTTATAAAAATATTGGCAAAAGTTATATGCTTCAACCTGATCAAGTTAATCCACCCTTTTCAAAAAAATCACCTCCATATTATTTAGCTTCACTTAATTGCATTGTGGATATAAAATGCTTACCAACTGGTTATCATACATCATGTATACCATCTCTTAATATTTGTGATCATTGTAAAGAAGCATTTTCTGATAATGTTGATGACGTAATAATTTTAATTTGTGGACATGGTTATCATTTAGCATGTTATAACACATTAGGAAGAGTCTGTAGATACTGTGAAAATTATTATAAAAAAGGAATTGATGAAAATGTTAAAAAGTTTGTAAAAAATTTAAATAAAAACAAGAACACAATTACAGAAGATATAGAAATTGATAACCTGCAGGATGAGAATGATGATGATGATGATGATGATGATGACAATAACTCAAATATTGGCTCTGATAATTCTCACAATACTTTGGATGAATTACAAATAGCAATAGACAATCTAATAAATTGGTGATATTATCACTACCAATAAATGTCATAAATTATAATTAGTGATATCATTTATTCATTAAAAATTAATTTATAATAGTATTTAAATAAAGAATTAACCTTAGTCTTAATTGATAAAGTGAAGAAGTAGTAAATTTGGAGTTTGAAAACGTTGACCTTGAAAAAATATTTAATGTTAAAATATAAATTGTACTCAATTAGTGAAACATATTGCTTATAATATTTATTTGTGAGGATTTTATTAACCAAACATGAATAATATTTTTTCTTTCCTTTTTTTTATATCCAAACATTTTCATGAATCAATCTTGTCTTGTGTTATATATATATATGTAAGATGCAAATATTGTTATGTGTTTTAGAGTGTCCCTCTCTCAAGCAAAACACTCTCACTTATTACCCAATGATTTGAAAAGAGTAATTGATATGTGTAAAATCGTAAAACGCGTCCCTATAATAACTATATATAATAAATAAATTTATTAAATTTATTGATCTTGAATGTATTGATTTCAAAAATAATAAAAACAATAAATATTTTAATATTAATATCAATATTAATGAAACAAATACCTTG